AGCCATTATCTCCTTAAAAAGAAATAGGTGTTTTAGTACCAAGAACTGGATACATAAGAAGGAGAGGAACCCGGGGATCACTTCCCATTTCATGCAGAGTAAATGCCAAACTCCTTTTCTCCCTAGCTGCATCTCTCACCATTCTCCTCCTTGCTTACTATGTTCCAGCCACATGCATCTCTCTGCTGTTCCTTGAAGACTGAGCGTCTCCTTCCTTGCTACCTCAACCTAAAATGCTCTTACCAGGTATCCGTATGATTAATTCCCTCCCTCAGGCCTCAGCTCCTCTGAAGTGCCTTCCCTTGCCTGCCTTATATTAAATAGCCACTGTTCTCCTTTGCACTCTATCCCCTTACCCTTGATTCTTCTTCATAGCATGTACTATTTATTGTCTGTTTCATACAGGTAGTGTCAGGACTTTGTTCTCTGGTGAATGGCTGCCCAGCAGTTAGGCATTCAATAACTATATGTTGAATGACTCAATGGATTCCCATTTTCTTTCTTAGGGGCTTCTTCTTCTGCCTAGAGAAATGGTCTTCAGGCCACCCTTGTTCTTTAGCCTGTGGAAAATGAACACTGTGTTCTGTGTACCAAATGTTTCTACAAAGGTGATCTGTGGGGTTCTTCCCTTTTCTCACTGCTCAGATTTTTCTGCGCATTATTCTTTACCAGTCATGCAGGTGAATCTGTTTTCTGGGTAACTTTTTCTGTTTGGGACTAATGCTTTCCTTTTCCTGAATTCAGTATCATTATGTAAATATGTTAACAATTTGGCACTTATTCCTTCATTCAGCTGGCAAATAATTATTGCAGCAGATACTGTGAGCCAGACTGGGGTGCCAGACTGTATGCTAGGGCTTAAAGAGGTGGTGAGCCAGCATTTCCCTGGAGGAGCTGATGGCTCAGTGGGTAGTTGGAAGTGCCAACAGTTGGGACAGGCAACTGCTATAATGAGGAACACAGAGAGGAAGTTGGGAACACAGGGATGGGTCAGGCAGACCTGTTCCATATGGTTAGGATTCTCAAGGGTAGGAAAGAGTTTGTCAGGTGAGGAAGCAGGCAGAGGCTGCTCTGAGAGGAAGGAACAACGTGCAAAAACGCAGAAAACTTTGCTTGTTTACAGAAGCACAAGTCAGTGACTATTGTTGGAGCATGAAGTACAGTGCAGACAGTGATGGTGGACAAGGCCACAATAGTTAGATGAGGGCCAGACCCAGACGCTTTTGTTGTTGTTGTTGTTGTTGTTGTTGTTGAAACAGGGTCCCACTCTATCACCTAGGCTAGAGTGGGCTTGCAGTGGCACAATCTTGGCTCACTGCAACCTCTGCCCCCAGGGTGGTAAAGTGATCCTCCTGCTTCAGACTCCTGAGTAGCTGGGACTACAGGTGCCTACCACCATGCCTGGCTAATTTCTGTATTTTTGATGAGATTTCACTATGTTGTTCAGCCTGGTCTCCAACTCCTGGACTGAGGTGATCTGCCCACCTCGACCTCCCAAAGTGCTGGGATTACAGGTGTGAGCCACTGCACCCAGCCCAGATCCAGACACTTCTAAAAGACTTTGTGTTTACTATACAGAGTGAGGCTTCTATCCTGTAGCCCATGGATTTGGGAGTGTGTTCCTGAGAACAAGTGAACAGAGGTGGGTAGGGAGGTAGCCTGGAAGGATTTTTCCTATTGCAAGCTCCCTTCCTGAGTCAGGGAGAATCCAGAATATTTTCTACCATGTGGTAATTTGGTGTGGATTATTTTTTCCTTTGGATTGTAATTTCCTAAAGGATGGCGAGGTTTAATTTTTATGTATCTCCTAGCACCTCACGTGTACATTGTGAGATAGATGCTGGTTCTAGGCTGGGTGCAGTGGCTCACATCTATAGTCTCAGCACTTTGGGAAGCTGAGGCAGGTGGATCGCATGAGGTCAGGAGTTCAAGATCAGCCTGGACAACATGGCAAAACGTCTCCACTAAAAATACAAAAATTAGCGGGGCATGGTGGTGCACGCCTGTAATCCTAGCTACTTGGGAGGCTGCGGCAGTAGAATCACTTGAACCCAGGAGGCAGAGGTTGCAGTGAGCCAAGACTGCCAATGCACTCCAGCCTCGGTGACAGAGAGACTTCATCTCAAAACTAAAACAAAAGTTTAATTTTGGAGTACAGTGACATGATCTCGGCTCACTGCAACCTCCGCCTCCTAGGTTCAATTGATTCTCCTGCGTTAGCCTCCCCAGTAGCTGGGATTAAAAGTGCCTGCCACCATACCTGGCTAATTTTTGTAGTTTTAGTGGAGACAGGGTTTTGCCATGTTGGCAAGGCTGGTCTCAAACTCCTGATCTTAGGTCATCTGCCTGCCTTGGCCTCCCAAAATGCTGGGATTATAGGTGTGAGCCATTGCACCCAGCTAAACTTTGTTTAAATGAATGACGATTACATCACTATATGTATCACTGCTGTGCTTTAACTCCCTTTTTTTTTCTTTGTTTTTTGAAATGGAGTTTCACTCTTGTTGCCTGGGCTGGAATGCAATGGCATGATCTTGGTTCACTGCAACCTCTGCCTCCAAGGCTCAAGCAATTCTCCTGCCTCAGCCTCCCAAGTAGCTGGGATTACAGCCATGCACCACCATGCCTAATTTTGTAATTTTAGTAGAGATGGAGTTTCTCCAAGGTGGTCAGGCTGGTTTTGAACTCCCAACCTCAGGTGATCCACATGCCTTGGCCTCTCAAAGTGCTCGGATTACAGGCATGAGCCACTGTGCCTGGCTGTTTTAACTTCTTAGTATCCCATAATGTTTCTTCTGTTTATCTGCCCCATTCCTCATTTCCCAGTTTTTCTGTTAGGCAGATTAAATTCATTAAAAAAAAAAAAAAAAAGGAAAACCTTGTTGCAGGAGAATTTGTTGTTTGTGCTGTCAGATACAAGGTCCTAATGGATTTAGAAGAAGGTTGGATGGGACTCCTTCCTGAGGCAGCCACTTCAGTGCTTCTTACTCACCTTTGCATTCTCTGTGCCTGTCGCATGTTAGAGGCTCAATAAATGTTTGCTGAAGGAATCATCCTGTTTATTGACAGCAAGATTAAGCCTGTGTTTTCATAGATAGCAAAACCTGCCCACTCTTATCCTTTGATAGCCTATATTCTTTGCTTTCTATGCTCCAGACACATTATTAAACTCCTCTCCATTCAGGCAGTACTTGTAGATATTTCCACTGCCCAGAGTGCCCTTTCTCTTGTCTGGCCAACTCCTATACCTTCTTATAAGATTTAACTCTCCTTCTTTCTGGGAAAATGAATTCTCATAAACCCAGTTGGAGTTAGTTGCTTCTTCCTGTGTACAAACATTTTTTTTTTTGAGACATAATCTCACTCCATCACCCAGGCTGGAGTGCAGTGGTGTGATCTGGGCTCACTGCAACCTCCACCTCCCAGGTTCAAGTGATTCTCTTTTCTCAGTCTCCCTAGTAATTGTGCCACCATGCCTGGTTAATTTTTTGTATTTTTGTAGAGATGGGGTTTCACCATGTTGCCCCAGGCTGGTCTTGAACTCCTGGCCTTATATGATCTGCCTGGTTCTGAAGTGCTGGGATTAACAAGCATGAGCCACCGCTTCCAGCTCCTGTGTGCATTTTTTTTTGGGGGTTATTTATTTTGTGCATCTGTGGCAATAAATGAGATCTCAGTGGTGGTATGGATTTGACTGATCTCTGCAACTGTGTATGGCAAGAAAGACTGGAAAATGAAAACCAGATCCCAGTAAGGGGTAGGGAGGGCCAAGAGAACTGAACATCTGGACTGGTAGAGAAATCAAAGCCTAGGAAGTAAGAGGTAAGAGTGTAGTATAGGGGATACCCTATCTCTTTGCTCCCTCCCTTTCCCCCCAGGTCCCTGGGACTATATTGGTTTTGTCTCTGAAGGTGAAAAACAAAAGGCTGAGTAGATAGTTGGCTCTAAGTGATCAATCTCAAGCCAGCTTTGTCAGAAATCCTAAATCACAGGAGAAGGGTGGGAAGAAAGGATATGATTATTTCTCGTTCCATTTTCCATTAGAGGTGAGAATGGCAAGTACCTCTCTTGAGGGCATGAGGAGGATTAGCAAAAGGAGAAGGGCTGGGAGCCCTGAAGTCTCCTGTAAGACCTCACTCATATCTCACAGGCAAGAACTAAGAAGTGAATTAAATATTTCAGTGGGCTAGCTCTAAACCAGGATTAGCAAGCATAGCTAGGGTGCGAAATCCTGGAATCCGACTGGGACTCTGGCAGTGAAAGCTGGGATTGTTGAAAACCCAATTTAGGGAAGAGCCTCCGGCAGCGGCAGCTCCAGTGGCCAAGGCAAGATGGGTCAAAGTCAGAGTGGTGGCCATGGTCCTGGAGGTGGCAAGAAGGATGACAAGGACAAGAAAAAGAAATATGAACCTCCTGTACCAACTAGAGTGGGGGAAAAGAAGAAGAAAACAAAGGGACCAGATGCTGCCAGCAAATTGCCACTAGTGACACCTCACACTCAGTGCCGGTTAAAATTACTGAAATGAGAGAGAATTAAAGACTACCTTCTCACGGAGGAAGAATTCATTAGAAATCAGGAACAAATGAAACCATTAGAAGAAAAGCAAGAGGAGGAAAGATCAAAAGTGGATGATCTGAGGGGCACCCCGATGTCAGTAGGAACCTTGGAAGAGACCCTCGATGACAATCATGCCATTGTGTCTACATCTGTGGGCTCAGAACACTACGTCAGCATTCTGTCATTTGTAGACAAGGATCTGCTGGAACCTGGCTGCTCAGTCCTGCTCAACCACAAGGTGCATGCCGTGATAGGGGTGCTGATGGATGACACGGATCCCCTGGTCACAGTGATGAAGGTGGAAAAGGCCCCCCAGGAGACCTATGCTGATATTGGGGGCCTGGACAACCAAATTCAGGAAATGAAGGAATCTGTGGAGGTTCCTCTCACCCACCCTGAATATTATGAAGAGATGGGTATAAAGCCTCCCAAGGGGGTCATTCTCTAAGGTCCACCTGGCACAGGCAAAACCTTATTAGCCAAAGCAGTAGCAAACCAAACCCCAGCCACTTTCTTGAGAGTGGTTGGCTCTGAACTTATTCAGAAGTACCTAGGTGATGGGCCCAAACTTGTACGGGAACTGTTTCGAGTTGCTGAAGAACATGCACCATCCATCGTGTTTATTGATGAAATTGACGCCATTGGGACAAAAAGATACGACTCAAATTCTGGTGGTGAGAGAGAAATTCAGCCAACAATGTTGGAACTGTTGAACCAACTGGATGGATTTGATTCCAGGGGAGATGTGAAAGTTATCATGGCCACAAACCGAATAGAAACTTTGGATCCAGCACTTATCAGACCAGGCCGCATTGACAGGAAGATCGAGTTCCCCCTGCCTGATGAAAAGACTAAGAAGCGCATCTTTCAGATTCACACAAGCAGGATGACGCTGGCCGATGATGTAACCCTGG